GAAGGATGCCAGAAGAAGAAGAGAAAGAGCAAGAAATTAGAAAAAAATTGGAAAAAATAATGAAAGGAAACTTTCCTAATTTGGTGAAGCAAATAGACACGCAAGTCCAAGAAGCACAAAGTCCCAAACAAGATGGACGCAAAGAGGTCCACTCCAAGACACATCGTATTTAAAATGCTGAATGTTAAGGATAAAGAGATGGGAGGGTGGGTGTGGGAGAATGGATGAGAGGTGAGGGGATTAAGAAGTACAAATAGGTAGTTACAGAAAAGCCAGAGGAATGTAAAGTGCAGTATAAGAAAGGAAGCAGACAAAGAACTTACTAGCATGACCCCTGGGCATGAACTATGGTGGGAGAATTGCCTAAGGGAGTTGGGGGGAGGGTACTGGGTGGAGGCTACCAAAGTGGGGGAAATCAGGACGATTGTAATAGCATAATCAATAAAATATAATTAAAAAAATAAAAACCAAACAGCAACAACAACATTTAATTAATGCTAAGAAGAATGAGAACAGAGGTTCTGATTTTTGTTCTAATAAAATACTGCTTTTTCTATAGGTCCTGAAGCCAATCCTGATAATGTACGATTTTATGCCCATAGGAGTCAGTGTTTCTGCTGTTTGCTCTCTGGCTGGTGTTGGGACCACTAAAAACAATGGTGGTGGGGGAGAAAAAGAGCCAGATATACCACATTCACAGGCATTTATTTTTTATATCAATAATTTCACCTCAATTTTATACCCCTTAGAGAATTCTATAACCTATATTTGAATCAGCTACCCCACGGCTGCCTGCTCCTGAATTTCTGGGGGATGGACTGATACTCTTGTTGGGAATTTACTCTGTGTGTGTATAACCGGGTATAGCCAGGGGCCCCCAAATGAAGGCTTTGAAATGGGGTCCAGAACTCGGAGTATCCAGAAAATATAAAAATACAGGATAGCCTCACCCCCATGAGTCTGGACTAGGGGATGGGACACAGGGAGCTGGGCCATTGATGGTTATTTTGCATATCGAGAGTTCACCAGCTTCATACCTGATATGTAAAAATGCTTATTTTGCTTATCTATAACAGCCGGCTAGCTTCATAGATATGTTAAGTGGCTGTGGCCCTGCTTGGAGCCAGGGAGATGGGAGCGACTTCGACCCGTGATGGCACTGGGAGGCAGCTCCCTCCGGTTACGGCACCTGTGTGAGAGCTTGGAGATGGTTCGCTCCACACCATGAGGCCACGCCTGCCCGGACTAACTATGGCAGCCCAGAAAGGCTGGGGATGCTGGTAGGAGGATCTGACTGTGGGAGGAGTCGGAAGTGGGGAAGCAGAGGAAGGTTGGTGCTGGGATTTAAACCCAGGCGCAGCAGCCATGGGGGGGGAGGAACCCGTGGTTTGGGGGCTCTTTTTACCACGTGGCTTAGGCAGCAGGAGAGACAGTGCAGGATTAGGGTCGGGGACGATGTGAGACCTTGCAGGGAAGGAAAGGAGTGAAAGCTGTCTCACTGGTGGGTGGATTAAGAACTGGAGATCACGGTGACACAGCTGGTGGTGCTGAGGACCAGGGAGACCTGCCAGCCGAGCTCAGATTACAGGGAAGAACCGGGAGTTAGCCAAGCCACGGACTTCTATTTTTCCTGAGACATGGTACCCCTGACTAGCTTGACTGGGCGAAGGGGGGAAGGAAGGACTGTGTGAGTCTGTGGGTATTTTAAGGGACTTTGAGTATTTAAAACAGTGACAATAAGTCATTACTCTACACCTGTATAACTTCTGAATAAATAGTCCCTTTCCTTTTCACCCAACTCTGGCATTGAAAGCCATAATTCTAATTCCTAAGGGCGGCAGGCAAGGTGAACCTGGTACAGAGAGACCCTGGAAAGGGGGTGAGTCCATTTGGTAACAGCATCTTCTCCCCCCTCACCCCCTGGGTCCATTCTGTAACATGAGGACCACCCAACTAGCAAATTCACAGCTCACTAGTGGAATCTAACTTTGTAGTTAAGAGTTTATCAAAGGCCTTCAAGACGTTGGAGAAAGAAAAAATGGCAGAATCAAAGACAATGGCCTACAATAAGTGGTTTTAATTATATTTGATAAATTGTGAACGTTTTGAGTGAGGTGCCAAATGCAGGATACCTATCTTTGGAATGATATGCGTGTCATGGGGTTATTATGAATATCAGTGGGGTCAGAAGCCCATTGCAAGGGGCTTCTTAGTAAGTGCCCAACAGGTAGCTGTTCCTTTTATTGCTGTCTCGATTGCCATTTCTACTAATAACTATACCTTCTGAGTATACAAATATACGACATAAATGGCCCAGTGTGATTTTAAACCGTGCTAGCTTTCCAAGAAGAACACTTGCAAACTTCACCAACTGGTTCCCCAGGCCAGCCTGGATTGGAGTCCTGTTGTTCTGCAATATGGCAGAGGTCCCGACCAGGTCCACAGGATTCGTAAAATCCAGCACCTGCTGTAACTGGAGGAGCATAGATTTGACAACACGTTGGAAAGGGGAAGCTGTCCTTACCTTCTGCTTCCATTGGACTAAAGGTGGATTGAGTGCCTCCGAGTGGCTTTTCGGCCCACCAAAGGGACGAAAGCTCCTCTCTCCCCCAGTCGTGGGCCCCTGGGTAGAATGACTTCCAAATTCAACGAGTCCTTGATAATCTAGTTTCCCTTTATTCTTTTTCAATGCGTTGCTTTTATTTTTGTCAACACACTGTGTCATTTACCGTAGTCAGAAAACTCCTGTTCGGGTAGGTCTTTATCAGAGTCCCCACAAATCAGGTTAATTGGTGATCAACCAGCTTTTTCTGTCTTTAATGAGGCCTAGTTGCCCAAGGCAAGGCCTACCTCTTGATAAGGGACTTCTTTTTTCTTATTCTGAACTCTTTGATCATTTAAGGAAAAAAAAAAACTTATACCAGTAGGAATAACCACCAGGAATGTCATTGTTTTTTAATTGCCTGATTACCAAATGTTGGAGATAAAAGATAGACGTTCTCAATTAATAACATTTACATAGATTAGCATCACTAACGAGCCTCATTAGTAGCCGCTGATTTTTGTTGCGATGGTGTCCCGTGTAGTTTGCTCTCTCTCAGTGCGACCCAGTGTACCTTACAGAGGACGAGAACACCGCCTTCTAATCTGGTTCCATTAATCAAAGAGCAATGCATTTTAACACGCGGCCAGGTTTTTAATGAACCAAAAGTTAATATTACCTGGTGTAGGTTTCACGAAAGGTGTGCGGTGTTCATCAAGTTCAGAAACTGTCCTGAATCTCGCGCCCTGTTTTGTGGAGCTTAAACACCTCCATTGTGTCAGTTACCACACAGACACGTGTTCACAACACGTGAGCATCGGAGAATTGCACGCTTTTACTGAGGGCCTGTCCTGTGTCATCCGCTACCAGCCTCGTGCCGTTAATCTGCCAACAACCCTGTGAGCGCACACACTTAAGCATCGCCACTGTAGACACACAGGAAGGCTCAGAGTGCAGGTGAAGGGCTCAAGATCACTTGGATATCACTCTGATGTTCAAGTTCATGTTCACCACAGGACCCGCTGCTGTCTGTGTGCCTTTGGAAAAAGAATGCACTAATATTCTAAGCAGAAGCCGGTGTTCAGGATAACCTACAACTAGCTAATTAGGAGTCCAGTCGTACCGTAAACGTGGATATTCATTTTTCAATTCATCAAAATAAGTGGGAAATAACTAACCCGCCTCAATGAGTAAGTGCTGGAAAGAGGATTTGGGATATCTAAATTTATATAATCTACGGTCATCAGAAACCTAAAAACCTGAAGCTTAAAGGGCACCAAATACACATCAATTTTATGTCACTCTATGTGGGTAGGTGGACTTGGTTTGTCTAGAGAGCCTTTTTCCCCCAAAAAGGATTCTGATAAAAGTGTAAAATTATTATAGCTTAGGAAACACAGTCAATAATATTGTAATAATTATGGGTGGTAGGAGGTGGGTACTTGAAACATTTTTCAGGGGACCACTCTGTAAAGTACGTGATTGCCTAAGCATTATGCCATACACCTGCAACTAATACAGAATAATACTGAACGACAACTGTAAGGAATGTTGGGAACCTTACACCTGGCTTCTAGCTAAAAACATTGCATTGATTACAGGAACCTGTGCGCTCCACAAAGCCAATCGGCTACAGGCACATGAGGTGTGCACGCGCTCCCCAAGCCAATTGGCTACAGGCACATGAGGTGTCCACGAGTACCAGTTGCACCCAAGTAATCAATAAGCGGGCCCTTCTTTGTCTCAAGCTAGCCAATAGCAAGCAACCTAATCTCCTTCCTCTCCCTCCCCCCTATATATATACCCAGTTTGGAAAAATAAAGTTTGCAGCTTGATCAGAATCTTTTGTCTTGCTGCCATTCTTCGCGCCTCTTGTCCCCCCAACTCATTTGTTCTAGGTAGGTGGTCGAGCCCCAGTTGATTGCTCCGCGGGCCGGAGCAATGGAAAATTAAATAAAAAATAGTTAAATATATAAATGCAAAAACAAGGTTTATACTAAAAATGTAACATTATTATTTTGTTTTTAACATCTGATGGAAGAACGTCCATATCAGCCCTGGCTGATGTGGCTCAGTGGATGGAGCGCCAGACTGTGAACCACAGGGTCACTGGTTCAATTCCCAGTCAGGACCCATGCCTGGGTCTCTGGCCAGGTCCCCAGGAGGCCACTACATATTGATGTTTCTCTCTCTCTTTCTCCCTCCCTTCCCCTCTGTCTCAAATAAAATAAATAAAATCTTTAACAAAAAAAAGAAAGTACATGCCAACATCGTGATAAACATTTTGGGTAGAAACAACCTGGTTTGATATATTCATACACTGTACAATGGTCACGACCACAGCCTTAGCTAATGCCTCATCTCATCGCATAATTTCCAGTTCCTCTTGTGGCGAGAACATCGGATTATTAAGATCTACTGTCTTAGCCACTTCCAGATCTATAAAACAGTATTATCAAAGACTAGACGTCCAGGGGTCATTTCTATAGTTCGTTACTAGAGAGGTTTCTCAGCGTGGGGAGCACCTGGAACCATAAGGAGGAGAAGGAGTCTCTCTCCTGAGTGTGAAGCCGGCTTTTGGTGTTGCTTCGGTAACTGCCATTGGCCACCTATGATCGTTCTTCTTTGTCCTTGGAGGAAGAGGGAGAAAATGCTGTCTGAGTGGCAATAAATAAATAAATAAATAAATAAATAAATTAATTAATTAAAAAACCACAGTAATATCAGCTATAATCACCATGTAGTACATTAGATCCCCAAACTTACTCATCTTACCATTGGGAGTTTGAACGCTGCGTTCCACATCTTCCCATTCCCCCCATCCCAGCCCCTGGTAACCACTGATCTGCTCTGTAGTTTGACCTCTCTGAGTTCGGCTGCTTTAGACTCTACATATAAGTCATTTCACACAGTTTTCGTATTTCTCTGTCTCACTCATTTCATTTAGTAGAATGAGCTCAGGTTCCATTCACATTGTCACAATGGCATGATTTCCTCCTTTTTCATGGCCAAGTAATATTCCATTGTGCGTGTGTGCATGCGTGTGTGTGTGTGTATCACATCTTTATCCATTCATTGGTTGACAGATGCTTAGGTTGCTTCCGTATCTTGACTCTTGTGAATGATGCTGTAATGAACATGGGGTGTAGACACATCTTTGAGGTCTTGTTTTCATTCCCTTCAGATAAATATCTGGCAGTGGAATTGCTAGATCTTAGGGTAGTTCTATTTTTAATTTTTCGGAGAACCTCCATACTGTCTTCCGTAGTGGCTGCTCCAGTTTACACTCCCACCAACAGGGCACCAGCCAGACTGTTTTCTCTTTGCCCATTCCCTCCTGCTCTTTATTTTCTTGATACTTATCACTCCATTCCATTTCTGTTTATTGTTACAACTCTAGTACCTAGAATAGCGTCTGACACATAGTATGCGTTAAATAAATATACGTTAAATGAATAACTAAATGATCACCAAGCAGCGATGAAGAAATCAGTGCACACTGAGGCTGAGACCTCCCTGAAGGTTTTGTACCGTGGGGAAGCTTAGTGCGTATACCTACCTTCTCCATCTTGAAGGGTCCCGTGGAATCCCTGGGCACAGTGGCCGGGTCTCTGCTCACCCTGGGGACCACTCAAGCTCTGCCCCCTGCCCCCCGCCCCATCCATTTCAAACCCTCTTGTGTTTATGAGTCTCTGCGCCTGGCTTCTCCTTTCTGCTGGGTTGGCTGGGCAACAGCCCTGCTCTGGGAACTGTGAACGGTCAGATTTCTCACTCCAGCCCATTCAGGAGAGCGATTCAGCCTTGTTAGAAGGACCAGGGAGTTGTTTTAGGATGTGTTTCTGTCTGGCTGTTACATTTCCACGTGGTTAGACTTTTATGACATTGATGGACCCAACTTCCATCGGGTTAGAGAAACACAAAAATAACTCACATTTTCACCCCCTCAAAGGGTTCCTGTGTTAGCTGTAATTGAGGGCTAGGCAGGCATGCCGTGGAGTCTGTTTACAATACTGAAAATTCAGTTTTTCTTTATCAGTGCATACTTGGGCACATTCTTGCTGAAAACCATCAAAAAAGATATCATTATGTATTTGTTTATACTCTAAAACTCTGTCCATATGCAGGCAAGTGTATTGCGATGATAAATAAGTATCGATATTTTGATTATATTTGGCTTTAAAAAAATCCACACAAGGTATTCTATTACTTTGATTTGGTATCTTTTGTGGCATGCATTTAAAAAATAAAATTCAAATATCATAATGAAGAGGTTGAAAGTGTGGGTTCTGTATCTTGACCATCTGGGGTTCGTTCCGAACTCACTAGCATTTGAACTTGGGAAAGTTACTGATGCTCTGTGCACCTCCAATTTTCTTCTCTAAACTCGGTGTCATAATGGAGCACAGTTCATGTGAACAATGCCTAGCGCACAGTAGACGCCTAATAAATGTTAATTAATTTATGAGAAAATAATCCAATTTGTTTTATTATAAAATCAATGCACACTTCTTTTAGAAAATAGGAAACAAAGCAAGAGATAGAAGGATCAGTTCCACCCACTCTCACTGCATGCAGACAATCACAACGAATAAGTAAGGATATCTCCATTTCTTATTTTGGCTAAATATTTAAAACATAATTATGATTTCATAAGAAGATATAATATATAAAAGTCACGTGCACTTTCTGTGATTATAAAAACAATATGTAGTTATTGTGTGAAGTTTGGGAAATAAGTGAATCATAAATCTTCATTTTTAATTATTAAAGTTATCTATAATCATTCCACAAGGTTGAACTATTTTACAAGAATAAACATAAAAGCCATTGCAGCTTCCATTCAACAGAATAATTGTGCCTTACATTTGGTGTATGCCATTCTAGACATTTGATGTATATTTTACACGGACACATATACACATCATTTGCGCTCCAGAGAAGAATATACCATATATGAATATTTATGGTCTCAATGGTACAGTGCTGAATTCATGAGCTCCACTCAAAGATGATATGGAGAAGGACTGAGTGGCAGAAATATTTGCCATAGGTGGCTTATTTATTTTTCCCAGTTAAAAAAAACACACACACAGACACAACTAATGAAATGGCTGTACGATGTGACATTTAATACTGCAGAAAATCATTACTGGCATTTCTTGGAGTGAGATGTGACATGCTATCTTCTAGGTAACTATTTTCTGGCTTGGAAAAGAAATAGATATATACATAAATATATGTGTGTATATATATACATATATATATTTTTGTCTAATGATGATTATCTTGATATATTTTCCCATGTTGTTGAGCCATTGTTAGATTGCAGGGTGTCTTATACAGATTTTAAAGAAAATTCTATGATCAATGATATCTTTGAGATGTTTTTTAAAAATGAGTGTTTTTAAGGCAAGAGCTGCTCATTGTCACTGTTGAATTCCCATTGAGCCCAAGCCTGGCTCAATACATGTTTATGGAAATGACCGGTTCAAATGAACCATCATGTGTAAAGTGTTTGTGGGTATGTTCATAGCCCTAATTTAATGCGAACATTAAAATATGCTGGTTGTAACATGTCAAACTGTACCAACATATTTAACTCAGAAGGTGAAACTACCTATAAAATGGAGTGGACTTGTTTCATTTCTTTCATTTTAGCTGCACTGCGTAAGTAGCAGAGTGGACACTGGCAGAGTTCATTCCTGGTTTGGTCTCCCTGAACAGTGGGGCAGCCATAGCCACCTGTGCTCACCAGCAGGACTTCTGGGTGATGAATGCACCAGCCTTTGTGTCCCACCCCGGGGTCTTTGGGTCAGGGACTCACCCACCACAGAGAGACCGGGGAACTTCTGGTCAACCTCCTCACCTGATTTCTCTGACCCTGACTTTCCCCTTGTACCAACACTCTCTCCCAACTAAAGAAAAACCACATTCTTTTTCAATGAGCTTCTCTAGTAAGAACACAGAATAAAAAAGACACAGAAAATCCAATGGATATAATCATGATAATGGGTCTTGAAGTTTATATTGTACATACCTATTTTTTTAATGAAAAGAAATAAGTAGTTTTTGAGATAAAAGTTATACCCAGGATTGCTATACATTGTGTGAACGTAAACATATATACACCACTCCCTGAGCTAGTTATTAGATAACTAGTTATTACTTATAACTAGTTATCTAATAAAGACAGCAATCCTTATTCTCAGGCCAGAGTATCAGAGGTGGCTACAGAAAAATCTCATTTTCTAATCACTATTTTATCAAATGATCAGTTGCAAAAAAAAAAAAAAAAGAAGAAACTATTTAAATTGCTTCATCAAGAAATATCTACCTGGAAAACAAACCCATACAACCTTCTAGAGCCTTCAGGGGCTACATCTGCCCAAGGTCACCCAGCTAAGATCAGAAGCCAGTTCTCCCGGCTCCCTGCCCATGCACTTGTGACCCCACCTGCCATTGGACCAGTGGCACTGGTAACAGGTGATGACAGGACCTTGACAATTCCTGGATCCGTCATCAGGGGCTCTAATGTAAGCTGTGGTCCGCAAGCTAAGCATCTTCATAAAACCCTTTGGGAGAAGAAGATGCAACCGGCTGACAAGTTTAACGCTGTTAAAGAAGATATTATCTTCCTTAAATTCATTCTAATTTTCTTTTGTAGGTAGACGGCAACGGTCAGCAGACTGGATTATGCTCATCACCAGGAATTTTGTTTGTTAGGTGAGCAAGACGGAGAACCTATTTTCAGAACACAAACCTTCCCGATCTCCACGTGACCCCCTATTCCATAATTAGAGTCCTGTATAATATTCAATAAAGGATGAATGGAGACTGACAGACTCAAATTAAAAATTCAAGTCAAAAGACATCACTGGGAAACTATATAATGCCAAGAGCCTAGTTTTGAACAAACTATTCCAGGAAATGTCAGGTAAGCCTTTGCTACCTGTGGCTCTGGGTTGGGCTCCCCAGCTTTTTCCTTACTGTAACAGGGTGCAGCCAAGGGGGGGGGGCAAATAGGTTATTGTAATGGGGTCCAAAACTCAGGGTGTCCAGGAAATATTAGAAAAAATGCATATAGGATGTCCTCACCCCCACCAGTCTGAGCTGGGGGGTGGGACACATGGAGCAGGGCCGTTGAGAGCTGTTTTGCATAGCAACAGCTTTGCAGCTAACCTATAGGATGCTCATATAACATATCTATAACCTTTAACTGGTTTCATGGATATGTTAAATAGCTGTGGCTATGCTTTGAGCCAGGGAATGAAAGTGACTTCTACTCAGGATGGAACTGGGAGGCAACTCCCCCTGGTCACAGTGCCTATGTGAGAGCTTGGAGATGATTGGCTGCACGCCATGGGGCCACGCCTGCCTGGACTCAGGATGGCAGCCAGGAAAAGCTGGAAGAATACAGGAATGCTGGCAGGTGTAACTGGGCTGCAGAGGAAGGATGGTGCTGGGATTTAAACCCTGATGCTGGCAGCCACGCCAGGTTGGGACCACGTGGCTTTGGAGGAAGCTGTGACCCCGAGGCTTTGGAGTAGGGTTGGGACCACGTGGCTTTGGGGTCCTCCCTTTTGCCGCATGGCTTAGGAAGCAGGAGAGACTAGAAGAAAAGGGGTGAAAGGACTCTAGCTGTTGGACCATGAGAAGGTGCCCCATG